CGTCAAGTGAGTGTAGAGAAGACGAAGGTGATGAAGAAACCCAAACAACAACAACAACAAGCACCAATCACCATCAGCAGGAGAAACCTAAAGGAAGTAGTCTCTTTCACCTACCACCAAGGTGGCATCATTTCAACTACAGGTGGCACAGATGAGGATGTCCAAACCAGGATCGGAAAGATAGAAAGACAGGCCTTCCTTCATTAATCTGAAATCAGTGTGGAGATCTACTGCAGTCAGCATAAAGCATGAACTAGATCCGGATTTTCAACACCTATCCACTCAAGTCAGTGCTGCTATATTGTTCAGAAACTTGATACGTCACTAAAAGCACTTCCAACAAACTGCAGAATTACATCACCAACACCTGCCGCCTAAGCTGGCTAGATACTGAAGCTCAGATGGACAGAAAGAATAAGCAAGAAGGAACTCTGGAAACGAACCAACCAAAAATTTATTGCCCAACAAATATGTAGGAGATGAATTGGATTTGGCATACAATGAGAAGACCGACTGGAGATATGACGTGCCAGGCTCACGAGTGAAATCCATAGGGGAATTGACGAGTTGGGCGTTGGAGGCAAGATTGGCATAAAGGAGATAGTGTGAGGAAGAAATAAAGGTTGTGGACAGTGGTGGAGCCAAGCTCAAAAGATTGCAGAGAACTGCAGAGTAGGACGGAGACGTGCTACTGAAGCCGTATGTTCCACTAGGAACCCAAGGGGAAAATAATAATAATTATAATATAGTCATTTTATTCTACGAATTTCGTCTTTCTTACTTTATCCAAAAAGATTTAGCTAAGCGAATAAGAACTAAGAACTTATTCGCCTCTATGAAAAGACGATACATACGCTTTTGTGTGTATACTATAAAGCGTATACTTGCATATCCATAAAAAAATTACATTAGACAAAACCTTGATGATTTTCATGGAAATATAATGACAATCACTTTTTATCGTTTCTAATGCATAACTTACTTGCGTAACAGCTGCAAGTAACCGAGGTGACTCGAATAAAACGCATTAATGCATAAATAATCAAGCATTATGAAATGGAAAGATTGAAATAAGAAAATGAAATCACTTATAGTATATAGGGATAATGGTTTTCTGACTACGAAATAAAGATATGAACATATGAACAAAAGAATTTCTTTGATAAACAGAAAATGATTCTGTAAAGTCATAGAACAAAGACGTGACAGCTGAGAAAATGAATGGCTACGATGATTTCATTTACTATAAACCTGTACAACTCTATTTTTAAGTACTTGAAACAGTTACGCTTACCGACGCCCAACAATAGGTGTATTTGCTGACCTGAAGGCTGCGGTATTCAACTTCGTTGATGGAGAAGTCTTATGGCAATATCTGTCATTGAAAGGCTTTCCGAGTAAGTACATCACTTTGTTGGAGACTCTCTACTCGAACACTTGTGGACATGTTAGAGCCCATGGTGAGATATGCGGGTATTCTTACTCGTCAAGCAGTGTCCGTCAGGAGTGGCCACTCTTTCTATTCCTATTCACTTTTATTAAAGATATTCTAATGGAGGTCTCCGTCTCATCACCTGACTAGACAGAGATTGACCTAATTACAGGAGAATTGTCGTTAGACCTAGAATATGCAGATGATATAGTCCTGTTAAGTGAAGATGCTGACAAGATGTAGAGTCTTCTGAACACTTTGGGTGGGAATTTGAGAATGTTTGGGATGCATTTCTCACCACCCAAATGCAAGTTGTTGCTCTAGGATTGGTCTTCAACAGTGCCTCAACTAACAATAGAGGGTGTAGTGGTTGAGTGTGTCGACCACTTCACTTACCTGGGTAGTCAAATCAGACCTGCTGGCTCAGTGGCCGATGAACTCTCTGCACGAATACAAAAAGATTGGCTGGTTTTTGACAACTCACACCACCTACGCTGCCGCCGTGATGTCCGTTTGTCTATTAAAGGTCACGTGTACTACAGCTGCACAGCAGCCGGTCTGTTCTACTGTATTGCTGTGAAGGTGGAAGAGATGAGAAGGCTTCAAATATTTGACCACCGTTACCTTCGTAGTATTGGCCGTATTCCGTGATGTCACCACGTGATTAGCGCAGAAGTCAGGTATTGAGTTTTAAGGAGAAGAGGCAAATCAGTTGGTGAGGCTTTAAGTATATGATTTACCAATGATTTGACTATAGATAAATGAATTAGTTACGGTCTATTGGAATCGTAAGAGGTACTCCGCTAATTACTCTGAAGGGACGAATAAGATGGACTGGATGTCTGGAGATTATGTGTTCAGTGACAGCATGATTAACATTTCTTCTAACATCTAAGAATAATCAAACTGGCTAATGTTTCAAAAACTTTCTAGAAGTTTGATACTGTGTACGTCAACGTACAGTGTTGTACAAAAACAAGCATACTGACAGATATACAATTACATGACCAAAAGATGTACTCTGTTCTTGACACATGAATTGAATAAGTGACTACTGGAGTATGCCATTCTCAGGTTAGCAGTTTAAAAGCAGTGAAAAAGATCCATTAAAACCTCAGTACTGGCCGCTAAGTTATTTTATCACGTAATGACTTATATTTAGATCATTGGATCGAAATATCTATGGACTGTCAAGTTTAAACGACTTTTATTAAAGCTAACAACTGATCTATCAACTTCCGGGTTTATATGTTTGCTTAAATATAATCTTTTTTTTATCACTGTACTGCTTTAAATAACCAATATGTTGCATTGATATTCTAAGCCTGATTTGTCTCAATATACTTCACTTATTTTCATTGAAGAAACTATTTAAGGTAGATTTGACTATCCAGTTAGTCTCAATGTAGACAGCTGATGAGAGAAGTTCCAACGAAAGCTAAGGTTAGAGATAAATAAATTCCAATCAGCAGCATAGAGATCACTAGTTTAGATAAAAAACTTGACAAAACTGTAGCCGCATTTTTCTTTTATATATGAATAAATAGTAATAAATTGATGAGCTTGAAACAATTAGTCCCTTTTATGAATTTGGATAGTGTAATTAGAAGACGTAGATTATATGAAAAATGTGATGTATTAGCGCTATACGAACAGGATGGGTTCAAGAAGTACAAATCATGTGCACATCGAATTGCAACGCTTTGCATCATCATAGAATACAGCACAGAATGGTAGACAGCCCTCTACCTCAACTTCATCGCCTTCGAAAAGGCCTTCGATAGCGTCGACCGACAAGTAATTTGGCAGTTGCTTCAACACTACAGAATACTACAAACCTTTATCAATCTCATTCAACACCTATATGAAGATGTCACAAGCCAAGTAATTCACAACACAATAGGAAGCCAAGTGATTCCCTCGAAATAAAGACAGGAAGGAGTAAGACAAGACTGTCTACTATCGCAGATAATCTTCATGATTGTGGTCGACTGGATCATGCAACAAACAGTGAGGAGTGAGAAGAGGGGTATACGCTGCTCGAAAGGGGAAAAGAATCTAGAAGATTTAAATTTCGTCAGTGATGACTTGTCTCTGATGTCGCACAAACTTGAGGATCTCCAGGCGAGAACTAACAAGTTGACAGAAGAGGCAGGGTAGAGAAGGGAGACGGGACTTCAAGTGAATGAAGAGAAGATTGAGGTGATGATGATACTCAACCAGCACCACCACCACTGACAACAACAGGCTCCAATCACCATGAAGGGGAGAAACTTAAAGGAAGTAGCCTCCTTCACCTATCTAGGAAGCACTGTTTCAGCTACAGGCGGCACAGACACAGACGAGGAGGTCAAAGCCAGCCAGTCATGATCGGAAATACAGCAAGACAGGCCTTCCTTCATTAACCTGAGAGCAGTGTGGAGACCCACTTCGCTGCACTCAGCATAAAGCGTGAACAACATCCGAATTTTCAACACCAGTGTCAAGTCAGTGCTTCTGTATGGATCAGAGACTTGGCGAGTTACGAAAATTTCCAACAAACTACAGATATTCATCAACGACTGCCTACGCTGGCTCGTTACTGAAGCTCAGCTTAGATGGCCAGAAAGAATCAGCAACAAGGAACTCTGGCTGGCTGGCAGGCAACGAACCAACGAAGCAAGAACCTATTGTTCAACAACTATGCAGGAGAAGGAAGTGGAGATGGATTGGGTATACACTGAGAAGACCTTTCGGGGACATCATGCGTCAGGCCAGTTGCTCGAGTGGAACCCAAATGGGAAACGACGAGTTGGGAGAGGGTATCCGAAGGTGCCATGGAGCAGATCATGTGAGGAAGAAATGAGAGCTTTTGGGGAGTCGTGAAGCCAAGTTGAAAAGATTGCAGAGAAGAGAGTACACTGGAGATGTGCTGCTGAAGCCCTATGTTCCATTAGGAAGCCAAGGGATAGATAATAATAATAATAATTAGCGCCATACATTTCGAATAATCTGATCCACGACACATATACTTGTTAAGGCATTATATATGAAAACTGGAAGTGGAGGAAGGGCAAATATGATATAAAGAAATTCAATAATAAGAAAGAGAATGAAAGGAGAGAAGTGGTAAGATTTGAAGATTACCTTGGTAATAGAATAAAATAAGCATTACCAAGGTAAGCTTAGCATAGGGACAATGAGAGTGGGGGAGGGGTTAAATTTGTTTACGGTCAGTACCCCAATAAACTTAAGTAAACACCCCTGACAGTTTCTATACAAAACTGTAAAGTCTGTTTTAATATCAATCCTTTGACCCTTATCAATGTTATGTTTTGTAATGGATGATGATGGTTGTCTGCCGCCTGTGCTTATCGATGTTTGTGGATCTAGCTGTTTCTGTAGCCGTTTTGATACATATTCCCCTACCTCCAAATTCGTATCACGGTTAGTCCTGCCTATATCTGTTTGTCCACACACACATTGGATGTGACGCAATCGTTTGTACAGTGTTGAAGTTTATGTTGCAGCAGGTATTTGGTCTTCTCAACTAAGATAAGCTTAGTTGTATAGTGTGTTTTGCTAACACCAGACCTTAACCTTCGTTTTAATATTATGCTATTAGATTCTTCTCTGTATAGTAAGGTGGTGCAAATGCATTTCTTCGAAACAGAGTACAGATTAGATTTCAATCCTGGCTGATTTTTGTGCCCATTTATGAACTTCAATGGATATCTATTATCCACTAATGTTCCCGTTAGTATTTTGATGCCAACATTCATTGTCTTTGGTACAAATACGCTGGATCGTTTTAAATAGGCAAATTATCAAACTTCGCTTGTACTGGCTTAGAAAAAAAGTATGGAAGCTTAAGTACTGACCTGTCCAAGTGGGTTTTATGTAAATCGACTGTTTTATTGAACCATCTTTCATACGACTCAGGAGTGTATGTAAGAATGGCAAACGGTTGTCCTTCTCTTCTTCACATGTTAAGCTTATGCTGTTTTGTACAATATTAAGTCTTTCTGGAAAGCATGTTGCATCTTTATGCTTATCACATATCACAGTTACATCATTAACATATCTCATATAGCGAGTAAGTTTACTGATGAGTTCGCCGTTCAAGCCTTCAATGTGTGACATGTAAGTATCAGCTGGCAATGGTTCCAGAGGACTTAACAATTATATATGTGATCAGATTGTTTGAAACGTATAGCGCAAATACACCACATTTTTCAGATAATCTATGTCTTTTAATTATTTCCCCCCCCCCCCTGGGTTCCTAGTGGAACATAGGGCTTGAGTAGCGCGCCTCCATTGCACTCTGTTCTCTGTAGTCTATTCAACCTGACTCCATCACTACCCATAACCTTTCATTTCTTGCTCCCATGATTTCCTCTATGTCACCCTCGGACGCCCAACTCGTCGTTTAAATAGCCACTCCGTCAGTGTGCTCATGGTTGTGGCCTGGGTGACAATATCAAAGTAGATTATTGACTCTCCAGTTGACAGTTTGGAGAGTCCACTTCCATTCCATCTGCTTTCACAGATTCCAGGCACTTCTGTACTATACCTCCACATCTCTTTTGGAATCTAGGCAGCCTCGATAGGTTCATACATGGTGTGGACATTCCATGTCTTCATGTTTACTTTCGATTTCATGGAGAGAAGACACATCGGCTGACTGGCTTCCCGAAGGCTTTCACTAACCAGCATCATTTTATCCCTCCGATTCCAGCAACGAATAAGTGAACTAGTTATCTAAATTGATAAGGATTTGTTCACTGAAATTGAATAATGAAGTTTTATTTATAGAACTGGTCAAATTTTATTTTCTTCTAATTTTATAATATCCAGATGTAAGTCTAATATAGTTTCATTCATTTCAATAAAGTGGATAGAAAATAAATAAAATTATAATTACAATGAGGGAAAAACAAAAGGTAACAATCTCTAGAGAAGAAAAAGGAAGTAAAATCAAATTAATGATACTTTCTTTTTGTCTAGTAACAATGTCAAAATTTTGAGAAAAACAACAATATTCTTTGCATAAAAATTGTCTTAAGAAATTTAACCATACTTTGATATATCTAAGAAATTACCAGCGAAATCACCTCCCTTTTACAGAATAATATACGAACAAATCTATATTTACACTGAATGATAATAGATGATAAAATATAAATTTAAGCCGTTTTAGGATTCGAACTAGCGACCACTGGGTTTTTGAGGCCCCTGCTCTACCAACTGATCTATAATAATAATAATAACTCACTTTATTCCAAACAATTTTTGGTACAATTTGGGATTCTCAGCATGATATATTGCAACAATAACAACAACAAAGTTGATATATGAGTTCTGGTCTAACACACTTTTTTTCCTTACATAATATGCGTACTAGGTAAGGTACAGTCGAATCTTTATACTTAGCTATAGGAGCTTACAGTCCTTTATAGTTTCTTCTTGTCCTCCGTGAGTAGATACATGGAGAGAGTTGTGAATGATGAAGTGGATGCTCATTGTCAGTAAAAATGACTGTAGCTAGTTGCTTGCTGGAATTTAAAAGTCTGTCAACTACAGTATTGATCAATTCAGCTAAAGGCATACCACTGACTATGCTGACGACTTTCAAAGGCCTACACAACATAACGATTGACGACATCACGTGCCAGGCACTCGAGTGGGACCCAGATGGGAAACGACGAGTTGGGCGTCCAATGATGACATAAAGGAGATTGTGTGAGAGAGAAATGAGAGCTTCTGGATAGTGGTGGAGACATGTTGAAAAGATTGCAGAGAACTGTAGAGTGCAATGGAGACGTGCTAGTGAAGCCCTATGTCCCACTAGTAACCCAAGGGACAAATAATAATAATAATAATGATAATAATAATAATAAGACAAATTAGTAATTAATGTGGTGTATTATCGAGAATAAACATCATAAGGGAGGAATTTATTTGCAGAAGCTCACCTTATTTCTTGTAAATAGAATATAATAGTAGGAAGTTTAGTCTCAAACAAATATCTCCTTATGGATATAAAAAGAAAATCTTAAATCATTTTAAAGTGAAGTGACGAGGTAAATAACATTTGTCCTTGAAGACTTTCGTATCAAATTGAAAAGTATAGGTGACACTTCGTAGTTACTTCCCTTAAAAAAATATTTCGAGGGTTAACCGAGTATTTTAAAATACCATAAAAGAGGAATTCAAGGTTGATTTTGCTGAAACAGTATCCCTCTTGACATAACCTACATTTGCCGACACTTGACAAGTACCGGGTATGATGAAACACGCTTCACGGATTCTACTATTTTATGAAATGCTTGTAATTGTGCGTTGTTATGCTGGATCAATACGATTCAGTATAAAAACGGAGAATTACATGTATACCAACCAATAATAATAATAATAATCACTATGCGTTCAGGTAAACAGTAAGATTAACTTGATCACCTAGTTTCTAACTGTTGATATTCGATGTATCTCAGGGTCTAGAAAGTGTACTTCTCCGTCTATATTTCAACCTTGATAACAAATGATTTGACTTCTCTAATGAACAACAAGTTGAAGAAGGAATATAATTGAATGAATTGAAATAAACTATTTGTATAAGATTGTTCCTAACACAATCTCTTCTTTCAAAGTCTGACTAATATCACAAAAGGCTACCATTTTTCATAGAAGTACTATAGATCCAGAGTATTTCAAATAAGCATATTCGCGTTGATTGTGCACAAAACATCCTCATATAATAATTTAGTCAATCGTTGAATGAGTTTATGAATAAAAGTCAACGGAAAGTAAGCATATGTTCGTCGAAAATACCTCGTGTTCACTGCTGATATATTCATAAAATGAATCTTATGGTTAGTTCATTGAAGAAATTTAATGATCAACGATGATGACAACTTCACATATACTGAAGTGTGCATAAATACAACATTGGATGAAACGTGTGTAGGTATATTATTATTATTTACTGATATACTTATAACACTCCGTTGTTGTACTGGATCGAATTATTCAATCTCTGTTGACATATGAGCTACTGCGAGGATGCCTTGATATTGTCTTAATGTTTGTCATTGTAATTTACTTGATTGTGGCTGGTAGAAGAATCTGGGACACGCATTTGGTCCTAGTTGGGTGCTCATCAGCATCCTCACAGAAACCCATATTCCTACAGACGCTGATCAATTCAATCCCATAAACTAATAATAATAACCGATATGCGTTGAACAAGGGGTGGCTATCGTGCCCCAGTCGCATAGAGGATAATGCTTGGACATTTTCAGAGCGATGAGTGTGAGGTTTGAGTCTCAGTGGAATATTATCACCCTCTGGGGTACAGGTACACCCAGCTGCCTAGTACCAAATAGCACGATTTCACTACTAACCATGATCAAATAAAGCATAAGAGGGTTTTATTACTTGCAAGGGGGTATTCAAGGAGTTGCTGTAACAGATCTAAGTTCACCAGCAGTGATTCTTTTTACTTTACATTCAGAAAGCAGGATTAACTTCATCTGTACATAGTGATGAGCATAGATGATTAACTTTTACGCTACACGCTGTGTACAGAGATTTCCAACCGTATATTAATGGGTGGACATTTTTATTTCAATGACTTTCAACATTCAAGGCAAATTTCAATACCACATGTAGAACTCACAACTGAAGGAAGTGAGGACAGCATATTCAATACATGATATGCAAGCATTTCAACTGTGAAGAACAACTGTCACCTACTTCACATTTGATAATCAGTGATGTGGCATAGTGATGGCATATTTCAATACTTAGGCGATGTAGACAGTAATTCTTCTTTCGTACACGAGTGACGTTTATGATAACAAACAGTATCATGCCTACACACAATGGTAGATAGATGGTTAATCAGAGAATATCTGATCTCTAATCATATTTCCATTCTGAATTGTAGATAGGAATTCGATTGCTTCATTTACTTCAAAACTATTGTTATTACAATAATGCCTTATTCTTCTTCTGTGTAGGTTTGATTCACTAGTTAGAAGAAATTGGTTTTTCAAGGATTAGATTTTAGGCTAAAATTCCTCTACACTCATTTTAGCCTACAAAATCAGAAGGTATCAATAACTTTTACAACATATGTATATATATACCATTATTGTATGATATTTCTGATGTCAAGTAAATACACTTTTTTTTACTGCAGAAAACATCTTCACTCTTTTCTCATGTAAGCCATCAACAATCACTTTGTTTCAATAAAAAAGAAATGTCTGAATCAAATGACAGAATGTAGATTCTCCTTAGAAATACATTTTGTCTAATGCCAAATGCCATTGTCATTTGAATATATATAGAATAAAAACCTTAACTATTCACTAAAAATGAATCTTATGGTTAATTCATTAAAGAAATATAATGATCAAAGATGATGACAACTTTACATATACTGAAGTATGCAGATATCCAAGATTCTTCATTGATTTTTGATGATTTCATGATGAACCTTCTGTGTATCATATACACTTAGTACATACAAATTGACAAGAATTCGATATATTCAATGAACAAATTATCTAAACATTTCTAAGAAATATTACCTATTTGTTCATTCTCTTGCTTATTCATCACATAGGCTTGACTTGCATAAAGCCATAAAACATTGAAAAACAAAAAGAGATTACAATGAAGATGATTAACTTCTTGACGACTCGTTTTCATAGCTGTACATTCACAAATATATGAGAAAAATGATAAAATGTTACAGACAGTTTTCAGTCAAGAAGTAAACTTAGTCGATTGACATATTTAGTGAACGAAATGATATTACTTAACACAAGACATGATCTCAATAGTCTTCTTATAAAATGCAGTGGACAGTAGGACTCGATATCTGATAAAACCGGATGTGCATAGTACCAGACTAAGGCCACAGTAAGACCGAGTGTCTCTACAAGCTATTTTTGATATACAAGTGAGACTTGAAGCTGTAACTTGTCAACGCTTTGGGTGCACATCAGTGCCATCTATACACTCCTTTTGAATAGTTATATCGAACTTTGCAGAGAATTTTGAACAAGGTTTCTAGAGAAGTCAGATGTCCGTAGTCTACGAGATGTTGAACGATGAAGTGGAGTTGGAGATGGTTTATTGTTCACCTTTCAGTAATGTTTGCCAGTGTGTTCTTCAAGTGAGTGCATAGTACGGACAACGTAATCAGCTTCACATGAGCAAGTGAATCAACTACTGATATGAGAACACAGTACGGAGGTTTGTGGCGAAGTATCTCCACAACAATATCTGC